AATAATAATAATAATAATAATAATAATTAAAAAACCAATATTCCCAATGGGATTTTCTTAGATACTACAAAAGAAGTGTACCTGATAAAATTGTATTGTATCATTCCTTTAACACATTTTCAATACTCCTGTACATATACTGTTTAGATAAATGACCTATGCTTTCAGTTCATTGAAATAGTTCACTTCTGTACCTACATGGCAAACACTGGTATATTTAATCTTTTCAGTACTGAATTACTGCAAGGATATTCAGTGCCCCTGATGTAAAATATCACAGCTAGAAAAAACAATTTGAAGAAACTAAGTTTTAGAGAAACTGAGAGACGATGGCAACTGTATAAAGTTAAAGACACAAATGTCATTTGGCTTGGGGTAAACCCCACAAATCCTAGGAAGACATGTATAGGATGGCACTATAAAGAAGTATGTAATGGGAAAAGTGTTTTTGAAGCTTAACTCTACGGGTCGCTATTACTTCATATTGTACTCTTGTAATCTGTTCAGAGGTAGCAGCATAGTTTAATTTTTCAGGCCACAAAGATACCACTAAAATAGAATACACATCCGATACACCTAAATTCTTGTGAAGTGATATATGCATTATAAATGGAATGTTAATGCAATTGCCAAATGTAAAGAAAGAGGGAAATGGCACATTGGTTGAATGTAATATATTATTTTTGTACAAATGCTCCTTTTAAAAGCCTGAAATGTAATATCAGACAACACACCCTTATTTACTTCAGGATGTATCAATATGGATAGCACTTTTTGACCCAGAGGCATATAACGGTAAAGTCCGGTTCAGATATTTCTTATATTTACTCAAGTGCAAATTTGCTAACTGATCATGGCCATTCTTGAGCAGAAAACTCACGGTTTTTAGCTGGTAGCAATTTCCATGTTCCCAAAGAGTGAGAAAATAGCCTTTAAGATCACATAAATGGCCAGGGTCAATGCCCCTCTAATTAGCTCCAGGACTTTTTCAGGAAGAGATGTATCAGCAGTTGGTCTCAATTTGAGGTATGAAGGTACTAGAATAACAATGCATCTGCTCAGTGATTTGATTGCATTCATCCAGTGGCATTGTATAAACATAACTGCATTTGAGTACATTTCATTACATGTTGATAGTGTCAGTACAGATAACTAAAGATGTGTTTCAATACATTTGCATAAATGTTAGAAAAAAAGCATTACATTGAAAAGATTGGAGGAAGAAGTAAAGTATGATAAAAACATCCCTGCTGAACTCATAGCATATATATGTAACTTACTAAAGCAAATTTTTTGTTGAGAATCATTTGTTCCACCAGAGATGACTCATTATGGAAGAGATGAGGTTGCATGTGGCTCCACATATGAGGAAACCACCAGAATTCATCCACAGATCCCAGTAATAGGTCATCACCTTCATCTTCTTCTACAGTTCCTGCACAAATAAATTTTAAAATATTGAAATAACTTCTCATTTTATTTTTAGAAATCCTTGTTACAACTACTAATAAAACCACCAGAGTTGGCACTTTTCTGCCTGAAGTGAAGGACAAAATGGCATACCCATTCAATTCCACGTTGAAAAGCCAAGAAGACTACAGCAGCACTGGTAATGGAATAGCATCAGCATGAAGGACAGGACTTCTGTCTACCAATATCTTACTACAATTTTCTGATCTCCTGGCATCTGCTGCCAGAGGCAATGGTCTCATTTAGCCCTAGGCAGCATGTGATGAACCCTAAAATTAGATCACACCAAATTCTGCCAGGGAAATTCAATCTAACCTCAGAAGAAATTCATAAGCAACCTAAAGCAGGAGGCTATTGCTTGCTTATAGAATTATTCAGAGACCTTTGGGTAGAGTGGGCGGCATATAAATTAAATAAATAAATAAATAATAATGAAGAATTCCTTATGTGATTAGGTACTGATCCAGAAAAAGGAAATCAGAATCAAGATTTACTTCTTCTTCTTCTCTCTCTCTCTCTCTCTCTCTCTCTGTGTGTGTGTGTGTGTACATACCATGTTAAAGAATAGCTCTTTCTAGAATGTTAAGGCGAAGGACACTGGTGAGAATTTGGATGAATTTTGCCAAGCTTGGTTAGAATAGGGACCAGCAAGGCACAGCTGGCAGTAAGCCAGAATTACTGAAGCTTACAATGGAACATCTCATGAGAAGAGAAGACTCCCTGGAAAAGACTCTGATGTTAGGAAAGTGTGAGGGCAAGAGGAGAAGGGGACGACAGAGAATGAGATGGTTGGACAGTTGTCATCGAAGCCACCAACATGAATTTGACCCAACTACGGGAGGCAGTGGAAGACAGGAGGGCCTGGCGTGCTCTGGTCCATGGGGTCATGGAGAGTCGACTAAACGATGATGACAATGGAACATCACTATGTGGGGCTAGAGAGGTACTGAGGCAGTGGAGCCAGCTGCGTGCTTGGGGAACAAGAGACCTAAATCACAAATTATAAGTGATCATGTTAGAATAGCTGTCTATATTAATAAGACCCTCTTCCCCATGAGTCTTAGCTGAGCATATTCTGGGAGGTTTGTTACCTTCTCATTGACATTAGTGGAAGAGGAGGCAAACTGATTTTATTCTGCTATTTTTAAATAATGATATAGTTCTGGGCCTTATAAATAATTTATTTTGGGGATCCAATGTGGTTACTTATTTAAGTTCTTGATTTCTGAAGCTCTGCAGTCTCATGTGTCCCATGTCTGTCTTTCTATTGGCATAACTTATTTCTCTGTAATTCACCATTCTGTTTACCACTTTGCTACCCATGCTGCCTCCCATTCTTTCAGTCTGGAAGAAGAAAGTGATTTTAGAAATGGCATTCAGGAGGCTGAAATAATGCAGCAGCAGCCTGCCTGGGATCATTAAATTTTAAGAGTTAATTAAAACCAGTGACTTTGTCATTGAACAATATGGTCCTTTCAGGGTGAACCAACATAAAGGGATCATTCTGGGGTAATTATGTAGATATACTCCTTTCCCCATGCCATCAGAGAGTCTTAGATCTTGTTCACACTGTAGCAATCATGCAAACTAGCTCTTCTGATTCCTGCTTCTTCGCATGGCTATTGGACAGAGTGATGCTGCTGCTGAAAGTACTATAAACTGGGGTGCATCCAGATTCCAGACTAGCACTTCTTAGAAAATCTAATACAGTGGTGCCTCGCAAGACGATGGCCTCGCAAAACGATGAATTCGTATAACGATGAGGTTTTGCGATTGCCATTGCGCTTCGCAAAACAGTGTTTCCTATTGGGGAATTTCACTATACGGGTAGGAGAGCGCGCCCAGTTCCCCTCCTCATCTTGGCTTCCCTCCCACACCAAGCGACGCTTACCGGAGGCGGCGGCGTAGGGGTGGCGGCGAGGGGGCTGCTGGGGAGTGGGGGGCATTGTGAGCAGCTTCATGGACTAACGGGGTTTCCTGGCACAATGAGGCAAGCCCAGGATTTCCCCTTACCTCCTTACACGAGCGGGACAGCGCGCACCGGTTCCCCTCCACAGGAAGTCAATTTTTGCAAATTTAAGTGTGTCATAAAAGGGTCAAAAATGGTTTTAAATGCTTGGATTAGCTTCTGCACCCTCTAAAACGGATGCAAAAGTTAATTTGGCTTTGATCTGACTTTTCGTTAATTTATGGTGAATTTTTCCCCCCAACTTTTGACAGCTGTCAAAATCTGACAGCTCCATTGTTTCCTATGGGGGAAGAAAAAATTCACAAAAAATTAACGAAGACTCAGCAACTGTTCTAAATGCTTGGGTTCGTTAGAGGACCCCCTAAGTCGTGTGCAAACCTGATTTGGCTTTGATCTGAACTTTCGTTAATTTATGGTGAATTGTTTTCTCCCCCATAGGAAAGCATGGAGCTGTCAGATTGGTTCCTATGGGCCGAAAAAAAAAATTCACCATAAATTAACAAAAAGTCAGATCAAAGCCAAATCAGGTTTGCACATGACTTAGGGGGTCCTCTAACGAATCCAAGCATTTAGAACTGTTTTTGACCCTTCTAAGACACTTTTTAAATTGAAAAAAGAAACATCGTTAAGTGAAGCAGGGGACCTAAAATCGCATTCGTTATGCGAAGCATGGTCCCAAACTTCGCTAAGCGAAAATCACCCATAGGAAACATCGTTATACGGTGCATATTATTTTCTAAAAAAAACATCGTTATGCGAATTCATCGCTAAACGAGGCACTCGTTAAGCGAGGCACCACTGTATTCATAATTGAATTTGGAGAAAGCAAGGTCTGTACCCCATCTCACTATAAATCTGCAATACTCCATCTTGTCCTCTCTTTCTATCAGCTCATTTTACCTGTTGTTCTGCTTCTGTCACTGTTGAAATTTTATTTTACTTTTCTTATGTTCAGCTGACACCACTGTATCCATGCACCCATTTATCCAACAAGCATATTGCCAATTTGATATGCCATATTAAAAAAAAACAATGAAAAGGTCCATGGCATTGTACCTCATGCTCCCTGAACCCCCTTTCTATACCCCTTCCCTAGTAACTAATGGAGCAGCTTTACTTTATCGATTGTGATGGGTACGAATAGAAAGTAGAACTATCTGGCATGTAGGAGTTTGTTTTAGATGCCTGCTGTTTATAAAGTGTAAATCTATTCATTCCTTATGGTTAAAAAAAAAAAGTACCTCAAAGCCTTGAACTGTCCCTGAATGATTCGTGAAACTCTTCATACACCTTCCCATCCCCTGTGACAAACTCAGGTAATTGCCGAGACAAGCTTCACACCATTTGTCCATTTCCAGCTAGGATTAAAAATATCTAGCATATCCTATCTCACAGACATAACCCATTTGTCCATTTCCAGCTAGGATTAAAATAATCTAGCATAAAAATATCTAGCATATCCAATCTCACAGACATAATATAAAATCTGGGTTGAAAATGATATTCTCTTTATATGCATGTCATAAAGATTTTGCCTTTATTATGGAACTGCTGGATAGCTCGGTGGTATAGGTCAGTAGTTCTTAACCTTTGTTACTCGGATGCTTTTGAACTGCAACTCCCAGAAACCCCAGTCAGGACAGCTGGTGGTGAAGGCTTCTGGGAGTTGCAGTCCAAAACTCCTGAGTAACCCAAGGTTAAGAACCAGTGGTATAGGTATCTGGCTGCAGAGCCAGAGGTTGGGAGTTTGATTCCCCACTATGCCTCCTTGACAGGGGCTCAACTTGATCCATAGAATACCTTCTAGCTCTGTAGTTCTAATATAATGATGATGATGAGACCGGCTACTTCCAGGCTCAAATGTCCCTTGGGTATATTTCAACTTCCGTATTTCAAGAATGATTTCAAGTCATAAAAAAGGGAACTTTAAACAAATGCACAAATTCTTAGATGTACAATTGATACACTAACATGTAATATCAGGATCTCCCCGATTCATTCAATTTGTATTCAACTTGTCTGTCATGAAAAAGTGCTAAAGGTACCTAACAAGGAACCCATTTGATGTATTTGGGGAAAATAGATCCAAGTTTATTGAAATGTTGTGCAGATGTAGTCAATGTCCAAATCCATTATTATTTCAGAAAAATAAATTAAAAACTTGAGGCCACAATTCTGGGAGGGAGAGAACAAAAAGCTTCAGTTAAGTTTGTTCCAGAACTCACTTTCTGGGTCAAACATGCAAATTCACTAGTTTCAATCACAGATGTAAAGTATTTTAATGACTTTTTAAGATCAGAAATGTTCAATATCAGCTGTTTACAATCTGCTCCTTTTGTGATAGTAAATTGCAAGAATATTGCACATGGATTATGAGACACTGGAACTGCTATTAAAACTACCTTGGATCCTTTTAAGGAGAAAGGTGGGGTAAAATAATTTAAATAAACGCATAGAATTAAAAAAAACATTACTAATTCATGAAATAAGGAAGACTTCACTGATTTTCTAGTTCTGTCCCCCTGAAGGAGAAGTTTTTCTTTCCTTCAAGATTGATTGAAAGTTCTTCATTCTTATTTCATTTCATTTTATAGTAGAGAATTTAAGCAGCAAAATCAATTTCGTATCATATGCACTGTAAGAACATAAACAAATTGAAAGTGATTTTAACTTCTTCTTTTTTTAAAAAAAACTTACCTGTATGGTAAAATTTCCCTGAAAATCCCAGGTTGAAAGTGAAATTTGTAATTTGAGCTCTCATAAGATTCTGAGTATCAAGGAGTGCCTGAAATAAATATAGATTTATAAAAATATAAGTATATACGTAGTAATGACATAAGTGCAGAATAGAATATATGGGGCACCTTTTCTTCAAGCACAGTGCCTTTAGCTCTGGGGATCTGCTTAGCTAACCAATGGATTAGTTATATAGAAATATTAATAGATGTATGATAATTTAAAGGTGTTTTCCATTGCCCATCATTCAGCTGCAGCTTTCTTAACACATTTGAAAAGCTGCAGGTTGGAGATTGTAGCCACAATGGTTCGCAGCTAAGCAGCATAAATCAGTTACTCCCTTGCACAAGTGTTAATGTCTTTCTGCCCATGCTGTACATCACTGGATTCAAGCCACTAGTCTCCAGATCGTCCACTTGACTTCATCAGTTAGTGTGGACATGAGTCAAATAATCTTATGACTAGCGGTACCTCATTAACCTGCATCCAGAAGAGAAATCAGCTGGAACAGTTGCATAAAATTAAACTCTACCTGCTTAAACCAGAGGTGGGTTAAGTGCAGCCTTCCAGATCTTGCTGGGCTGAAATTCCCAGCTACTCTAGCTAGCATAACCAGTGGTGAAGAATGATGAGAACAATACCTGGGGGAGTCAAAGGAGGGATTGTCTGAAATAATACTTGAGACCAAACTAAGAAGCAAAACATGGTAATTTCTATTGGAGATAAACAGGCAATTCAGGCTGCAATCGTTATTTTCCATAAGTACTAGGTAGGCTACAAATGAGCTGGTATTTGAACTCAGAGTCCTAGTCTGAGCAATGGAGGCTGCTGTCTATTCAGATGACAGTGGGGAGGTGAATCTGCTGCATGCTTTACTTTGAACCTGAGAAGAGATATCCAAGATGCTGAATCTAGTTTGAAGCTAGTGTTCCACACTTTCTGATAGCTCCTATAAAAACCCAGAGAAGATTCACTAGCTTAATCACACTGGAGCCACCAGCTTGCACTGGTTTGAAGTCCCAAACTCTAGTTTGCTCAGGTATCTGGGTAATACCACAAGAAACTCCATTTAAACAAATTGTTACTGCTCTTCCCAGTTATAAACAATATTTGCCAATCTCCCAAATGATCTGGAGAACTTCGTGCATTGAAAAAAAGAAACATAATATCCCCCTCTAGTGGTCGAAGGCAGAATAGCAGCTTCCCATTAGTTTCTATGGACGGAAAAGAGCAGATACGGATCAAATGGATTTCAATGCATTCCTATGGGAAATGCAGATTTGACCTGAGAACTTTTTGACTTGAGAATCACCTTCCAATACGGATTAAGTTCTCAAGTCAAGACCCCACTGTATAAACAATATTTGCAAATCTCCCAAATGATCCAGGGAACTTTGTGTACTGCAGCACACCTTCAAAGTTTGGTGGGTTCTAAGCCACACAATGCTCATTAAAATCAATAAGAGTGTTAAAACCCTGCAGAACTCTTTGAAAATTTACCTGGAAGGAAAAGCACAAAGTAATATCTCTGAAGTAGGAGGATAGTGCTCTCCTGTGAACTATTTTCTAGGCAGACAAGCTGAACTAACATTTTGGTTGTCGTGCTTATGAGTATTTTCTGGATGACTTGACATTTTGCTCGTCATTTAAGTTCTAAAACCAAAATGTTAAAACTCATAAAAAATATACTGCAGCAGATGGTAGCAGAAACTATTTCACTCTGTGTGAATTTCAGATAGGGAGAGTATACTTTCATGTGGGGCTGAAACTAGATTGTCATTTCAAAATGTTGCTTTGTACACTCAAGGAAAACTGTTAAGATTTTTATACTTTTCTTTAAAATGATTGTCTTCATGAATTGTTCTTCTGAATATTTATACCTATGAACAGAACTATATAAATGTACTAGTGCTAACAGCTATATTTTATAACCTGCTCATTGATAGATGAATGTGTTCAAGTACATTTATTACAAGTATTAGACCAACAATTTATTACAAGTATTAGGCCAAGCAATGTTCAATCATTAAGAAGAAACCCACAACTGATAATTACATCAGTTGAAAAGGGGCATATGCAAAATGAGAGAGCTAACTAAACTCCCTTCGTATTACTTAGCAGTTTGGAAGAGATCATAAGTAGATTTTTTAACATATGGCACTTCATGCCTAAATATTACATTGTTCGTGTAACATGGCAACAGGATTTCAGCGAATGACATATTACAATAAAGCAAAAAATAAAATTTGTAACTTTGTCCACTGGCACAGCACTTAGCATTGTTTGCTGAGTTCTAAATGACAGATGACACTGAAAGCTGACAGAATGAAAAACATTTATACCACTTTGCCCACAATCTGTTGTTGATTTATAGTTACATAAAGGAAGTTGCCGAAGTTTCGGAATAGGTTGCCACTCATTCATGAAGTTGCACCCAGGAATGCAACAAGCATACCTCATTAATACACAGCAGGCTATATATGCTGCATATTAGTGAGGTGTGCTTGTTGCATTTTTGTTTGCAACTTCATGAATGAGTGGCAACATATTCTGAAATTTTGGCAACTTTCTTTAAGCAACTATATATATATTTTCTCCAAATTCTGCTTTCTACTAAAACAAGTCTAGGGCTTATCGTTACTTCTGAATGCCTTTCCTAAGATGAATAACCAAATAAGTGCTATACAGCAGTGGTCCCCAACCTTGGGCCTCCAGATGTTCTTGGACTTCAACTCCCAGAAATCCTGGCCAGCAGAGGTGGTGGTGAAGGCTTCTGGGAGTTGTAGTCCCATCTTGGCTAATTGGAAGATCTGCCAGGGGGGTTCGCACTTGGGTCCAGGAGGCCGTGAACGCCTCTCTGAGAGAGGGAGTGGTCCCTACCGCCTTGAAAGAGGCGGTGATTCGACCACTCCTTAAAAAGCCTAACCTGGACCCAAGGCTGGTGGTCAACTACCGACCAGTGGCGAACCTCCCTTATTTGGGCAAGGTGTTGGAGCGGGTTGTGGCCGGGCAACTCCAGGCGCTGCTGGATGAAACGGATTTTCTGGATCCATTTCAGTCGGGTTTCAGGCCGGGTTTTGGTACAGAGACAGCCTTGGTCGCCCTGTATGATGACCTTTGCCGGGAGAGAGACAGGGGGAGTGTGACCCTGTTGATACTCCTGGACCTCTCAGCGGCTTTCGACACCATCGACCATGGTGTCCTTCTGGATAGGCTGGCTGGGTTGGGGGTTGGGGGGACTGTTTTACGGTGGTTCCGCTCCTTCCTAGCTGACCGTATCCAGAGGGTGGTGCTGGGGGACAGTTGCTCTGCCCCCTGGCATTTATGTCATGGGGTTCCTCAGGGCTCGATACTGTCCCCCATGCTGTTTAACATCTACATGAAACCGCTGGGAGAGGTCATCAGGAGGTTTGGGCTGAGGAGTCAGCAATATGCTGACGACACTCAGCTCTACCTCTCGTTTTCCACCAATCCAGGTGAGGCGGTTTCTGTGCTGAACTCGTGTCTGGACCTGATAATGGACTGGATGAGGGTTAATAAATTGAAACTCAATCCAGACAAGACGGAAGTGCTGTTAGTGGGTGCTTCGCCGGACAGGTTGGAGGGCCACTTCCCTGTCCTGAATGGGGTTACACTCCCCCTAAGGGACAGGGTCCGCAGCCTGGGGGTGCTCCTGGACCCCAGTGTAACTTTGGAAGCTCAGGTGGCCTCGGTGGCCAGGGGTGCCTTCCTTCAGCTGCGGAAATTATACCAGCTACGGCCCTACCTGGACGAGTGGAGTCTCATGACAGTTACACATGCACTGGTAACATCTCGTATTGATTATTGCAATGCGCTCTACGTGGGGCTGCCTTTGAAGACGGTCCGGCGACTGCAACTGGTTCAGAATCGAGCTGCGCGGCTGGTGAGTGGTGGGGCCGCCAGAGAGGACATCAAGCCGATTCTGTATAATTTACACTGGTTACCAGTTGCTGTCCGGGCCCAATTCAAAGTGCTTGTTTTGACATATAAAGCCCTAAACGGCTTGGGCCCTGGATACTTGAAGGACCGCCTCCTTCCATATGAGCCTACCCGGCTGTTAAGATCTAGCCAGGGGGCCCTTTTGAAAGAGCCATCCCTCAAGGAGGTAAGAGGGATGGCTTGTAGACAAAGGGCCTTCTCGGCAGCTGCCCCCAGACTATGGAACGCCCTCCCAACTGAAATTCGCCTGGCGCCGACACTGATGATATTTCGGCGCCAGGTCAAAACCTTCCTGTTCCAGAAGGCTTTTAATTGAAATAACATTAACTGTGGGTCTTAATGATGGCAATTTTAATTGTATTTTTTAATTGTATTTTAATTGTATTTTAACTGTATTTTAATCATTTTGTTTTACTGCATTGAATTTTGGTTGTTGTGAGCCGCCCAGAGACCTTTGAGTAGAGTGGGTGGCATATAAATTAAATAAATAAATAAATAAATAAATAAAATCCACACTGTGATTGTGGATAGACTCTTTCTGCAAGCACCTGGAGCCTCTTCAGCACAACATGGACAAGCAGCTTCCCTACAACGCTGAGAAGAGAGATGCCACAATAGTTATTGTAGATGCCCCTGTGGCCTTTGTTCTTGTACAATGTAATGACGTTTGCATCCTTCATGTCCTGTGGTACTCCACCTTCTCTCCAGCAAAAACAAAAGATTTCATACAGCTCAATGGTGATGATCTCTTTACAGCACTTCAGCACTTCAATAGGGATGTTATCCTTTCCAGGTGCCTTGCTGGAGGCGAAGGAATCCAAGGCCGCTTTTATTTCTGCTAAAGTTGGTTCGCTGTCCAACTCTTCCAAGACAGGCAGGCTCTCAATGTTATTTAATGCTTCTTCGGTTACTACACTCTCTCCAGAATATAGCTCAGAGTAGTCCTGCACCCAGTGTTCCATCTGCTGTACTCAGTCCTGGACGATCACACCTGTAGCAGACTTAAAAGGAGCACATTTCTTTTGTATTGGGCCTAATGCCTGCTTGATGCCATCATACATTCCCTTGATGCTACCTGTGTCTGCTGCT